AATTTGTGGTTGTATAAGCCATTAATACTCCATAATAGGATGAGAAAATATTTTGAGGTTTGTAGTATGCATGCACTATTATTGTTATCAAGTGTGTGATCATGCTCGCATGTAAATATGTTATTCAAATTATTATTATATAAGACTGTTAAATTATAATGATATTATACAAAATACAGTAAAATAGTGTTAATGTATAATGTATTATTAATAATTAAAAAAAAAGTCCACAAATACATCTTGGCGCAGTCGTATTAATAGGATTAATAAGATAATTGTGGATAAAAGAAAAACTGACAAGATTATAAACGAACTTAACAAACCAGATCAATTAAAACTTGAAAGAAATCTGGAAGACAACTTCAAGAGATTTAAGCAGGAAACTGACTTAAAAGATGACAAAATTAAATTGCAGGGTGTTCAACTTACTGGGGCCTGAAGCTTTAAGACTTTATAACACGTTCAAGCTCAAACCGTTGAAGTCTCAGAAAGTACTGAACACATTTGAAGAATATTGTATACCCCAAAAGAATGAGGTAATAAAGTATTTTCGATTTTTCTCTCGAAAACAATTGGAAAATGAGCAATTTGATATCTTTTACATTCGTAGCTTCGTGATCATTTGAATCTATGGAAAAAAAATGATTGCGTACAAAAATAGTTATTGGGTTGCATAATAAAGAGCTCCAAGCAAGGCTTCTGAGAGAATATATAGAACTAAAAAAATTAATCAAACAGTGTCAAGCAACAGAGGAAACGAAAGCGAATCGACAAATACTTTAAGAAGAAGCTAAAGAAGTCAACGTTTAGTAAATGGTGAAAAGAAATTCAACAAAGGAGACAGAAAGATTGTTGATGAGCGATCAAGTCAAATAAATGTCAAAATGATCACAAATTGTAAAAGGTGTGCTTCAAATCACAAAATCAACGAATGTTATGTTTATGGTTAGGAATGCAATAAATGTAATAAATTAAATTATTTTGCTAAATGTTGTAAATTTAATAGTAATAATATTTTAAAACATAATAAGATTAATAAGAATGAAAAAAGTAATCAATATAAATTGTGGAGAAGAGTTAAATAAGATAGTAGTTTTAAGTGTATTAGGAATTAATGGTAATAGTTGGATTGAAGATGTATGTATAAATTATCATGTTGATATTAAAATTGATACAGGAGTATAAGTAAATATATTACCATTCAGTTTATTCAGGGAATTAAAATTAAATTAGTGAGTAATAATTTAAAGATTTAAGCATTTGGGGGATTTGTGATAAAGCCTTTAGGAAAAGTTTATGTTAAGGTTAATAATAATAAAAAAAAAATGTATAGACAATTTATTTTAGTAAACAAAGAGACAAATCCAATTTTAGGATTAACTGATAGCAAGTGATGTAAATAATGTAAAATTAACTGGTGTGAGTCATCTTAATCATTTAAGTATGATAAGTAATGCTGAAAAAGAGAAATTTATAAATAAAAATATTGTTGTATTTGCTGGAATGGGATCATTCTCAAATAAAATATTTATTAAATTAAATAATGAGACCACACCAAAAATATGTCCAACAAGAATGGTACCTTATACCATAAAAAAATAAATTAAAAGAAACTTTAAATGAACTAGTTGGATTAGATATAATAGAGGAAGAGAATGAACCGTGCGAATGGGTAAGTATTATGATAATTATAGAGAATAGTGATAAAAGTCTAAGAATTTGTTTGGACCCGAATGAACTAAATAGGTTTATAATGAGGGAAATATATCAGATACCGTCATTTGAAGAGATAAAAATATAATTAACTAAAAAAAA